AGTTAGTTTTATTCTATTTGCCTCGCTTTTTGTTTTTGTTTTTGTTTTTTCCTTTCGGTTAAGCACCACCGTTCAAATTTCCTTCCAAATTCTTTTATATATGTAGAAGAAAACTAGAAAGTTATTTGTATGAATGCTGACCAGTCTTATTATTATTATTGTTGCTTTTTTTTGTTTACTGCCTTTTTTTTGTACATTACTTTTCTCTTGGTACTATTGATTCTTAGCGGCAGGGGATGCACCAGAAAAGTGGTGGAGAAAAGCTCTCGCCAGAGGAGCTGCAGCTCCGCGTGAAGCAAGGTCTACAAAAAAGGAAGAAGTGTGCACTGTGTCTTCAGGTATTTTATGTGAATGAGCTACCCGGGGCAATCACCCATAAGTCTATTCTTGAGCTACGCCAAAGGTGGGGCCTTGATGTGCGCCGAGGCGATCGAATGCCCCCGCCATCTCAGCTGTACAAGAGGGAGGAATTGTGCGTGTTCTGTATGCAGTTCTTTGACTCAAGTGGGGCCTTGCAGGCGCAGCAACAACTATTAGCTTCCACACGTGGTGGATTGCCGGCCCGCTTGGCTTTGCGTTAGCTGAAATGGGAATGATTGTCCCTCCACACGGACGTTTCTGCAAGGCCTCAGGAACAATCAACGGAAAAAAAAACAGCCACAACGAAAAATAAAATTTGCATGCGGTTGAATGTATATGTGCCTCCTCATGCATGCAGGCAAACAACACCACGTTGGGGGGGGGCATGCCTGCTACGGTTATTATTCAATAGTACATGTATCTGTAAATCCAGCTGAGATACTAATCAAGGCTTCTCTGTGTGTGTGTGTCTCTCTCTCTCTCTCTGTGTGTGGGTGGGTCTTGGCCGTAGTTTTTTGCTGTTTTTTTTTCTTTTTATTTATTCTGATTTCTCTGGTGGAGGACAATAGTACAACTGTCTCCAGTGGCTTTGCAAGGGGCCCTAGTGGCCTAGCTGTCTTATTCACGATGTCCCAGCAGCAGCAGCAGCAACAACTGCACTCCATCGTGTTGCCACGTGCGGCCTGGATGTGGAAACCGCGGTCAAAGAAAGTCATTGAGCACAACCTGGGAGAAGTGGTGGCGTCCTCCTTGGGTGTACGGCTACTGGGAGCGCATGGATGGAAACGACGCTACGTGTTCGTTGAAGGCAACACAATCTGCTACGGCAAGGGCGTCGGACGGCGAGAGAAGGTAATTCCGTTGGAGATTGTAAAGGCCGCGAACTACGCCACGCGCGACGTCCTGCTGGCCGCCAAGGCACCCAGTGCAAAGTCTCAGTTTGGGTGGTTCATGTACATTAACGGTAAAGAGTTGCTGTTTTGTTGCGAGAACCACAGCTCGCGCGAGGAATGGGTGACGTTCATCCTCGCCATGCTTAGGTTCATGAGCGGGCTGACGACGCCAGTGCCGCTTGCGGCAAGGAGTGAGAACGGCGAAACCGTCGCATCTTTGATAGCCAGGTGCATTGAGGAGCGGCGGAGCGGTGCTGCCGAGGGTGGCCAAACCCTTCCTCTGGGTCTCGCACAGCCGGCGTTTTCTCTGGAGCCCACAGGCCACACGGAGGGCTCTGCACAACTCCTTGGAGGGGAAGCGGTGCGGCGTGAACCCTCACCGCTCCCGGAAACCCAGGAGGAGGAGGCGACCGACACGCCAGGGAACGCTCCCTACGCTGCAGCCGCCGAAGACATTGCCGAGGACGCCGTGAGTGATGAGGATGGGCACGCCGGTAGCAGCGCAGACGCGCCTCCCACGACGAATGCGTTGCAGGGTGAGAAGTTGGCGGGCCTGCACGCCCTTGCCCTTTTACCACAAGCCCACCAGCGCCACTCCCACATTGAGTACAAGTTGGAGTCCTTCACGGAGCAGTTTAAGTCTGGGGATAGCGTACAAAACGTTGTCTTTTCACGATGCGTGGAAAAGATTGGGAAGCGCGACACGGCACAGGAGCGAGACCTCGTTCTGACACCAAACTACTTGTACTTGTTCGCCCAAAACAAACTAACCGGTGGGGTGTCTGCCCGGTGCGTTGACACCAGCCAGATTGCGGGTGTCATTGAGAGCACCGCCGAGATGAATCTTCTGGCCGTCGTTATCCCCTGCTTTCATGATATTCTCATTCGGTTTCACAGTCAAAATTCACGCGTGGGTGGAACGGAGTCGAAGGTCAAAATTCAGCTCATTGCACACCTGTACAAAATTCATTTGGACCATCAAACCGGACGACGTTTCCTGTTCCGCGAGGTGGAGAACGTGCGGGCCGTCATACGGCGCAGTGTGGAGGAGCCCCATCTGCCGCTAATGTCGCACCCGGAGGACCGCATGCAGGTGGGGACAAACAAGGCACTCTTCCCCTTATTTCGGCTCCACGCGGAGTCTGTTGTGTTTTGGTCCTCCATGGTCACGCAGGTGAAGGAGGACCACCGGTTGCAGCTCCGCGCGCTTGCGATCACTGATGGAGCTGTTTATCTCCTGAGTGAGACACTAGGCAGGGTCACGCGCCGGATTCCGTTGCCAGACCTACAATACGTGAAGTTTGACAGGGATTCCCAGACGATACTGCTTCACTGCACGGAGGTGGACGCCCTTTTTACGGTTCAGTCTAGTCTGGAGTTTAGCCGCCTCATCGCGCTGCTGCCAGAAGTGGTGATGCAGTGCTGCTGCGTGAAAGTCTCCGCCACAGCGTCAAAGCAGTTGTACGCCCACGCCCGATTTGCGGAGCCGGGGAAGCTGAAGGAGGCAATAGGTGGTTTATCGTCGCTTGGTAGCGTTAGGCGGCACCTGCATCTTCCCTCGCGGGTCTTGTCCTCCATGCACCCGGCGCGTTTCAAGACGTACTTTGGCAAACATCAAAGTGACGCTGCGGAGGCACACGGGGTGCATGCTCCGGAGGACGTGGGCGGTGGTTGGCTCAGCAAGAGGCCCGGCAGCCGTGCCTACTTGGCACAGTACCGCTTCGTTGAGGAACTCGTTGTGGACTTTGAGGAGGAGGCAGGCATGCTTACAGGCATTCCATCTACCGCGTCGGACGCCTTGGCGCTCAATGGAGCCTTCGCAACAGACTTTGACTTTGGGTCGATTCAGTATTCTTTGGTTTGCACTGAACTGGATGTGAAGTCGCTTCCCACCGGCGTCATCTTGAGCTCTGGGGTGTTGAGCAAGCATGCCACCCGGCGGGTGGTTTGCGTTTGCACGCGAGGCATTTTGCTGCTGCACCAGCAAGATGAGGTGGGAAAGCTGCGCCGAACTTTTAAGGGCCTTCTGCGGGGGCACAAAGGCGCAGTTGGCGCGGCCGCAATGCCAACCGACAGTTTCCGCACACACGATCCTAGGGTTGTGGTGTTCCTCTCCTGGCCCGACGTTGTCGGCCTTGTCCGGTGCTATCCGGGGCAGGGGACGCTGATTGGCGTGATGACCGGCTCGGGCCACTCCTGCGACTACCTGCTTGACGTGGGGAGCGACCGCGGTGTGGACGCATTCTTCCGCTGCTCTGTGCGGGGCTACGTCGAACGGCACCGCCGCTCCCCACACGCGTACGAGATGCTTCCACTTTTCATGGCTCCGCACGTGGAGAATGTGCGTAATGCGTTGAAAACCACTGTCTTTGACCCGAGGCCCACCATTGCGCTTCGCCGCCTGCGTAAGCATTACGCCAGCGATGAGCTGTACCTCGCAGTCGTGCCTGACATTGCCGAGGCCTGCCGTCGCTTTGGGGACAACACGATTTACTTCTCTGGTGTGGCGTGGCGCTACCGGGCCGCTGCGCCCAAGAAGCAGCGCAGGAAGGACAAGACGACGGAGCCGGAGACGCGCGAGGTAAGCGCCGCCGCGCTGGCAACGCACAAGCCGTGCATCATTGTCATTACAAACTGTGCCGTTTACTGGTGCGCGGATGGTGGTCTCGGGATCCTGCGGCGCGTCGAGCTGCTCGCGCTGGGGGAGGTCTACCTGAGCCCCGCAGAGCCGGACGCCCTGCTGATCACAGTTCCAAAAGAGTACGACATGTGCTTTTGCCTCGACGGTCGCGGAAAAGAGTTCCTCGCACGGCTGCAGGAAGCGTACGCGGCATGGACGGAGTACCACCGTCACCTTCCCCGCGAACCAAGGGGTGGCCGGCACAGCCTCCCCGATGGCGAGCTACCAACAAGGACCGTGCCAAGCCTTGCCTCTCTGGGGCAATTAGAAAAGCCGCCGCACTGTGCTGGGTTACAGGCAAAGCGCAGTTCAGGGGAAACGAGGGAAGAGGTGGAGCTCCTGCACCGGCGTTACCTCGCAGCTGCCATTTCCAAGTACGAGGCTGTGTTGGAGGCAGCCTCCAAGCGCCAACTCTCATGGGCGAGGTCGTACAAGAGCCTCAGTGCCGCAGGGGCAACGCTGGAGTTTGCACACAGGCGGGCCTATGCCTTTTCGCTTCGAAGTAGCACGCACCCAGAGATGGAGCGAGCACAACTGCGGCTTCATGAGTTTTGCTGCATAAATGATATCCTGGAGCGCATGCAGCAGGCGGCGGCCACGGAAGACTTGGCCGCGTATGAGGCGGCGGCTGAAGAGGCAAAGCAATACGGGCCTCTCCTTGCCTTTCTAGAAGAAACCCACGAGGTTCATGAAACTCTGGCAAAACGAACTGTTGCTCTTGACAAAATTACTGCATGCGTCAATAGTGACACGCGTCTGTCATTGCAGGAGACGGAGGGCAAACTTCAGGCCTTGTTTGTGGCCGCGATGGAGAGCGGGGTCCAGCCCGAGGTGCTGGAGGGGCTGCGCCGTCGCGTGGACCTGCGCAGCCAGCAGGGGGCGTTCCTGGCGCAGCTGCAGGCGCATAGTATGGCCGTTGCCACCGGGGCTGAAAAAACCCCGTCGGAGAAGGTGCTGCTGCTGCTTGCTGAGGCGGCGCGCCAGCTTGAGGTCCCCGTCTCGGCTGTAGAAACGGCTTTTCCGCGGGACTCGCATGCGGTGGCTCGCGGCGAGGGCAAAACGCAGCGGCAGGCGCTACTGCTGCGACAGGAGCAACACAACACGCGAAGGCTGGTTGCAGCGACGTGTGACGCCATTGAAGTCGCGGTGTCCTTGGGCAGTGTCTCTCTGCTGCAAGACGTCCTGCGGTTTGCCGAGCGGTCCCCCCGCGAGGAGGTGAAGGAGCGGGTGCAGTGGGGGTGGGAGCAGCTCAGCCTACGTCGCGAGCACCGGGCAACCCATCGCATGCCACCGCGTCTCATGGAGCAGCTCGTGGCTCGCCGGCAGTCCAGCGAGTGGGGCGCTGCGGCGGTCCACAAGCTGCGCGACGCGTGTGAAAAGGCGCTACAAGAGCTTCCAGCGGAGGCCCCATTTATGCTGCGCGATCGTCGGTTGATGCAGTCGCAAGTGCGCCTCCTCGAGGAGGAAGAGCACCGTCTCATTTTGCGGGACTCCCTACAGACGCAGGCGGAACAGGACTGGGACCGATGCAGGGAGGAGCTGCAGAAGAAGGAGGAGGACGAGCGACATGCCACACAAGAGCGGGGACGTCGGCAGGCGGAGGCGATTGGTCGGCGGCGTATGGAGTACCTGTTGATATGGCAGGGCCGCACCAGCAAGCTGTGTGTTTCGCTACGCGAGAGTATTCGCTTGGGTAACACGGCGGAGGTGCGGCGGTGCGTACGCCAGTGCATCTTTTTTCAGCAGGAGATCCAGAACGGGCTTTTAAACTACAGCAGCTGCCTGACTTCTGGACGCGCTGCGCAGCCGATGCCTGAGAAAATACTGAGCGACCTCAAGACGGCCGCCACGCGTGGTCAGGCGTTTCTGGCCGGCCATGAAGGGGAGGCGGAACGCTACGCCTCCCTCGCCACGAGGAATAACGACGCGGAGGCCGCTGCGGTGGAGGATGTGGGCGGGGAGGAGTCGGAAGGGGGAGGGGCGGCGGCGGCGGTTCCACCGGAGCTGCTGGCATTGATCGAAGCGCACAGGCCGAAGGAGCTGGTGGCGTACGTGCGCGCGCACGCGTCTGAGCTGACGGCGGAGGCCGTTGTCCAGGCACAGGTGCTGTGGTCAGCCTCTCGCGAGCGGCGCCAGTGGGTTGCTAAGCTGCACCGCGCCATCCACACCGCCTTCGCGCTGAATAATCGAGAGCTGCTGCAGACGCACATCGACGCGGCAAAGGCGTCTGGATACATGGACGACGTGGTGGAGGGCGCCATGGAAGTTGTCTTGGCAATGAGGGCCCGGCAAGACGCCACGCCAAGCAGCAGCGGTGGAGGTAGCAGGAGTCCATCTCCGGCATTGGCGTTGGATGCGGCACAGGAGGACCAGGCGCCTCGCACGTTCACGCTTTCTCACGTCTATGACGCGCGCTCTAGCGACGCGGCGGAGCGCCTAATCGGCCAGCTGCACGCCGCAACGCTGGAGGTGCTGCAGCCTACCGACCCGGGCCCTCTCTCGCCGAGTGCCCCGGTGCAAGAGCGGCGGCAGAAGCGCATGATGGATGTCGTTCAGCTGTGGCATGATGTCTTTCATCACCGCCTAAGGCCGTCTGGGGGCGTGTTCAGGCGAAGGGAGCGTGACTGCTTTGACTTTCTGCACTTTGTCAGCCAACGCAACGTCGCAGGGGACTATTTGGCCCCCTACACTAACCGTCTCCTGAGCGACTTTGAGCGTGTCAAGAAGTACAACGCCACCCAAGGGCGGAGCAGCAGCTTCCTGCTTATTGCCTACATGTTCCAGCGGAAGCTGTTGGAGCGGATTGTCTACGAGATTGCCCAGCTTGGGGCAAAGGTGCGGGGTGAGGTTCTTTGCGGGGATGCGTTGCTAAACCAAAGCCTTGATGATTTGCTGGCGCTGGCCCACGTGGGGGAGCAGGCGGAGTGGCCGGCGATGGTGAGCGAGGCCCCTGATGAGGCCGCCGTGGACACAACCGCGTCGCTTACGCTCATGTCGATTGTAGAGGAAATGGCCGCGGAGGAGCCCACGCACGGCGTTGCAGTGGAGAAGCAGCAGCAGCAGCAGGGGACATGCGACGTGCCCCGAGCGGCGGCGTTGCGGAAGTGCGCAGAGTTGCTGCGGTCTGCGACGCGTGTGTTGTCGAATTATTTTGCGGGGAGGCTTGCGGCGCTGGGCGTCTGCCCCTCCGTCGAGGACGTCCGTGCGATATTCGACGAGGGGGTACACAAAGAAATCGGTCTGATTGCCCAGGAGCATCTGCTTCCAGCCATGACGGCCCTGATTCACGCGGGTTTCCGCCCCACCTACCACCTTGTGCGGACCCGCCGTGTGTGGGATGCCGTGTTGGAGTTTGGGGCTAGTCTGCAGCGGGGCTCGAGGGACCTGAGCGGCGTCGCGGTGTCCGGCGTTCTCCAGCTTGTGGAGGCCGTCACCGATGTCACGGGTCGACAGCGCACGAAGCTTCAGCGGCTTAGTGAAGATGAGCTGGCAAGCCTGCGGCTACGCATGTTTTTAATCGAGTGCCTCAATCGCAACGTGCTTGCCGCCTTCCTGCAGATCTTCTTTCAAGGCGAGGAGGGCATGACCCGCTGGGCGAGCCGAGACGGGGTGTGGAAGTTCTACGAACGAGATCGCTGCGTGTGCCACCCGCCGGAGGACGCGGGAACGAGGGAGCTGATGGAAGTCATCACACGGCTGTCAGAGCTCCCGTTTGTTTTGGTTGTCGACAGAGAGCTGTGGTGACCCACGCGGGCACGCGTGAGTGCGGGGCGCGAGTGTCTCACTGCAGTGGCAGTGTTGTGCTGACAGTATCGTATTTTTGCTCTTTATTCGTTTATTATTTTAATTAATTGATTTATTTTTATTTTTCTCTACGCGACACCAGCAGAAGTCTGGTGGCGTGTGTACTTCCTCAATAGGAGATGAAAAAGGGGGCCCGGTAAGGCGTTGGCGCCACGTCGCCCCGCGTCCCCCTCTGCCTTTTTTGCCGGTCTCATTGTTTTATTTTATGCTGTGCGGAGGGTTTTTTATTTTATTTTGTTTTATTTTATTTTTTTTTTGTCTTTTTCTTTCTTCACGCTCTTTCCTTCCCCTTCTCTCCCTCTCTCTCCCTCTCTCTTTCCCTCTTTGCATCGGGGCAGTGTGATGGGTGTGGCCGGCGGGAGTCGTAGCTGAGGTGCGTAGGCGGTGCCATGTCCTCCGTGTTCGCTCTGCTCGAGGAGGACAGGGGCGCAGCGTCGGGGGTGTGGGGTGAGCCGCGGGGGCCGCAGCATCGGCGACGGCGACGCCTGTGCCGATTCACGAGCCCGGCAAGAGCGTTGGCCTCAACGACAGCCGCCCCGTGCGCGTGCGTGGAGCCAGTCTGAGCACCTCCAGCCCTCTCGCCTCTATTCTGCACCGGCTGCTGCGTGAGGCGGAGGGCGTCGCGACAGGTGAGCTTCTGGGTGTGGCGCGTGCAGTAGAGAAGTTGTACCTGCAGGAGCAGCGGGCCGCAGGTGTGCGTGCCGGGGGGGAGGTCTACGACGGGGCGGAGACAGCGGAGGACGGCGTGCTTGGGCGGTTGATCGCAGAACAGTTGATTTTGTTGAGGCGTAAAAAGCGAGCGGCGAGCGCCATTGCGGGTGGCGGCGCACACCGCGACAGCCGTCGTGCGCCGTCTTTGCGGCCGCCTTCGCAACACACGCCGCGTCGGCCCAAATTCGCCACTTGCGAGGAGGTGCCGCATTTGCGGCTCGAGGAGGAGTGGGAGGAGGCACCCCCCTGCTGCACGGCCGTTGTCCCCGCGGCACTCACCGCAGTGCCTGTGTTGCCCCGCATTCCTGCTTTCCGTGCGCCGTGTCCTGTCGTTGTGATGACGACGCCCACGTTTTCCCCAGAGCGCCAGCGGCGTCGCGTCTTCGCGACGATTGAGAGAGACATATTTCGCGGCGCCGGTGTGTTGACCTGCATGGCGCCGGTGTCGTATCGCTACGGGGACTGCGGGGGTGGAGGCACCGCCGCGGTTGCGGATGACTCTCATGACTCTGCGCGTAGTCGTGGCGCCGGCTTTTCGCTTGCACGGCAGCCATTCCGTTGGTTTCTTGCGAGGGCGACAGGCCTGGAGCTTCTCCCGCGCAATGCGCCCCTGGCGCTCTCGCGCTCCCCCGCGTCCCCGCTCGTGTGTGGCAGTCTCCTGCAGGCGTTGACGCGGGAGGGCGCGGGTGGCGCGTTTCTCCCGCTGGACTCGCTCCTCGCCCTCGGCGTGGCCTCCTCCTGCGTGCTCTCGTCGCGCCCGCCCGTCACGATCGGCCTCGACGTCGACCTGAACCCGGATCACGACCTGGACCACGTGCGGGCGGTGGAGGCGACGCTCCTGCAACGTCACTGGGCCCTTCGCCGCGCCGCGGCGAGTCCCGCGTCGGGGAACTTCGCATGCCTTGAGGAGGAGGTGCCGTACGTGGTTGGGGTGGAGGTGTACTTCGGCGAGGGCCCGGAGGACGACGACGACGACGCCGAGACGTGGGTGGCGGTCCTACGCGACTTTGTGCTCCCGCGCGGAAGTCGCACGCGACAAACCGCAGAAGAGCTGCGCAGTCTTCTGGACGCGCCGTATCGGCGTTTGTGAGGCGGTGCCAGTGAATGCATGCCCCTCTTTGTTTTTGTTTTTGTTTCTCTCTCTGTGTGTGTGTGTGTGCTTCTTACCGCCCTGCTGGGGTGTTGCCTGCGCTGTTCACCTTCCCCCCACGTCTGACCTTCTGCGGCGGCTTCTTTTGCGTCCGATGCCGAGTGTACTTCGCGCGGCGTGTCAAGCGGGGGCCACCCACCCACCCACCCACTCACCCACACACAGACACACGCACTCGGGGGGAATACCTCCTCCGAGCGGGTAGCGCGGGCAGGAGCGAGAAGTCCAGCCGAGGCGCGGAGGCGGGCTCTTCCAATGCTGCGGGGGACGCGTGGCCGATGCAGCAAGCGGACCCCCGGCTACGTCTTCTGGCGGCAGAGCACCCTCGTCGAGTTGGAGAAGACGAAGCGCAACTACCTGCTGACGGAGCGGCCGGTGCCAGTTGCTGATATCGCCCGTCGCATGGTGCGGGTGAAGTCGCGCTACCTCGACACCAACGACTTCCACGAGCAGAACCTCCTGCGGGGCGAGTACAAGTACTTTTCCGGGAAACTCTGCGATCTTCGCCACGCGCGCCTGGAGGACATGGTTGCCTACGTCGAGTGCGGCTCCTTCTTCGGCTTCTGGGACACCGCCCAGATGGATCGCGTGATGGAGGAGCTGCTGCTGAAGCTCACCGAACTCGGGCCTGTCGAGCTCGTGCACCTCTTCACCGCACTTCCCCCGCTGCGAAAGCAAAGCACCGCGTTGTACAAGTACGTCGCCCGTGCGCTCGTCGACGTCGTGCCGGAGCTCGCGCTGGAGGAATGCATCCGAGTCGCCGCCGCGTGTGATGCGGGGGTGCCGGATGAACTCGTGTACAACCTGATGCAGGCCATTGAGCCGGAGGTTGCACGTGGTGGCCTCACTGCGGCCCGTGCGGTGGAGCTCATGGACACATTCGGCACCTGCACCCCGTCGGCTCAGCGGCAGTTTGACCTGCTATTTGATGCTTTGAAGCAGGCGGCGGTGGCGGGAATGGCGGAGCTGAGTGCGATGGACGTCGCGGTGATGTGCACAGCCCTGAAGCTGCGGGACGCGCTGGATACCGTCACCGAGGCGAACGCTGTACGTGCGTTTCTTTCCCGCCTGGAGGAAACCTGCGCCCGATCCACGTCCATGATGTTTACGGCCGTGACTGCCACGCCTGGCTTTTCGCAGGCCATGGAGGAGCGCGTGGTGTTCCTCGCGACCGACTTCACGCCGGGCGAGCTGCTCAGTGTCTTCACCGTCTACATGGACAATTACACCGCGGTGTATCTCGTTTCCCACGGGGCCGCAGGGGTTGCGGCGGCCGCCTGTAAGGCGTCTGGGTCAAAAAACCACCTGGAGGAGCTTCACTTTGCGCAGCAGCGTCAGACGACGTTGGTGCGCGTCCTACGGGAGCTCATGGATCAGATGCGGCTCCTGATGGAATCCGCCACCGCGTACTTTTTGCCCACAGTACAACTGCAGTACCTGGAGGTGTTCAGCAGGGCCGTCGAGGACATGGAAGGTCACGTGGCGCACTTGACGGATGCCGTTCCGCCGCTGGGACGGTGCTTGGAACTTCTTTCATCGCGGGTTATCGCTTCGCTGCGGCGGTACACCTACATGGATCTGGTGGCGCTGCTGCAACTCTGCGCCCCGCTGGGCAGGTTGGTGGCGGACGCCGCCATTAGTGCGGCGGTGCAGGAACTCATTCAGCGTGAGGTGGGGGCGTCGAGGGAGGAGGCCGCGGAGCTGTGCGTGGTGCTGCAGCAACTGCCAGGCTTGCGGGCGGAGCATCAGCGGCGCATTGAGAACTTTCTGCTGCCCAAACTTCGTGGGCGTAGTGCTCAAGCCGGCTGAGCGGAATCGTGGTGCTGCGGCCACGGCTGCTGCCTCCTTGCTGCCGCCGCGTCGTGGACCCTCCCGTCTTCCGGCGCCCACTCACTCACTCACTCACTCACTGCACGCCACAGCCATTGCCCTTCTTTCATAGCTCCAGCTGCCCGTGGCCGTTGCCGTTGGCTTCTTCGAC